GTCAGAGCTGAGGACAAGGTTATGCAGTAAAGCCCCATGTCAGTGACACCCTAGGGGCATGAAGGCATCAGGAAGCTGGAGCCATCAGTTGCTAGGTGCCTACAAAAAACCTTCCAAAACCCAAAAACCAAAAAAGTCTTAAAAATACCAAAACAAAGAATTACTCCAACATTTAAAGGAGTAAAGCAAAGAAGATGACTCCACAGTATCAACATTTAAAAATTTATTCATGAAAATCATAGAACATTTTTCCAAAGTAGAGAAACAATTTAATTTCCAGGTAAATGAGGCACAGAGAACACAAAATACCCGTGACCAGGAAAGAGCCTCTCCATGACACGTTACAGCCAATGTTGCAGAGATGCAACACAGACAGAGTGCTCTAAAAGCTGCAAGGGCACAGCAGCAGCCTGGGAGGGCAAGCCTGTCTAAGCAGCGGCAGACTTCCCAGCACAGCCTCTAGGCCCGGAGAAGCTGGAGTAAGCTTCTAAAGCCCTAAATAAGAACATGATTCTCAACCTCTACATCCTGCAAAATTGATAGAAACCCTAAAGAAATTCATGACTACTAAACAGGCATGGTGGAAAACACTGAGAGGAGTCCCAGAGTTATGGGCAGGCCAGCAGCCCCAAACGACCCATGGAAGTGTCCACCTGGCTTAGAGAGGAAGCAGGAGGAAAAAAGGAAGGAATCCGTACTGGAGAAGTAGTGCAGTGGCAGGATTCAGGAAATGCCTCATGATGAAAACTCTCAGCTCCTGGCCTCGCCCCAGTCAAAAGACAGAGGACAGATTCAGGCAGAAAACAAGATTCAGCCATGCGTGCGAGGAGCATCTCATCCACAAAGAGATATACAGCCCGAAATACGCTATTCTTAGAAGACCAAACACGGAAGGACACAGAGCACTTGTCTGGAGCTTGCTCAAAAAATTTCACTAGTTTTTGCCTAACCTTTCACCAGGTTATCTGTGGACACAGATGAGCCAGTGTGGGGAAGCAGGGGCTTTCCTGGCCCTGCTCCTCCTGCTGGTTGCTTTCTCTCAGCAGTGGCTGCTCGTCCCTGGAGCTCAGAGCACCTGCTCCACAGATGGCTGAAGGGCTTTCCTGTCTTCCAGGCCACTTCTCACCACCCCTGCCCCTCCCACCTTGGGTCCTGTACTACCAGGTGCTCTCGTCCTCCATCCCCCATGGGTGAACTCACCTGTTTTTCTCTTGACCATTCACCTCTTTCCAGATCATATATATATATATATATATATATATATATATATATATATATCAATATATAGGAATATACCTTGGGTGTGTGGTTATTTGAATCTCTCCCTTCCAATCCTTTATGTCAAGCTCTTTCAGCCTTCCATATAGTTTTCATGTCCTTCTTTTAACGTTCAGGTCTCAGTTTCACGTATTCCACCCTAACCATTACCTGCTACCTTTCCCAGCACATCTTTGGTATTAAAACACTAACAATCTTTTTACTGCCTGGAGCAATAATCTGAGATCCTCAACTTTCTGATACACTCTTCCCTCCTTCATTAGTTGAAATTTCATGGCCCAACATGGCAAACATCCCTTGTATCCACCGTCCCTGCACTCCTCTCAACTGTTTGTGCTTTCTCGTGGCTGAAACGAAGCCCTGCAAAGCGTGCCTCTTCTGCTGCGTGCTGTGCCTGTGCCTGGCTGTGGCCCCAGGAAGACACACAGCCTGTCTCACTGTGCAGTCATGTTCCTGGCCCTTGGGTCATTAATGCTCTATGAAAACCCAGGGCTCTTCTATATTTCTGCATGCTCTCGCTTTTCTAGAAGATTTTCACATTTTCTGCTCTCTCCTATTTGTCCATTTTTACTTTCAGCTCACCATTTCACTTCCCAGTTCACTGAGAAATCCAATGCTATTGGAACAAAGCATCCACAAGCTGCCCCGCTTGTCTGAAACGATGCTGTGTCTTTCATCTTGTTCCCTAACTCACAGGATTACCAGCCCCAAGTGGCTCAGTGTCTGCTGCCAGAGGCTGGCATGTGCCGTTTAGGTTGCTAACAAGCATCCTCAGCCTCTGCCCACTGGATGTGCACTGGAAAAACACAAAACACCTCCAGCACTAGGAAATGCATCTGAGGTGTAAATCACCTACCTCTTTTGAAGAACTGCCTGTGTTCTTAGCTACTGGGGCCTTCAACTTCATCATCTCCTGCCTACACGATACGGTGCTTCACCCTTTTCATAATGTTAACTTCCTCCTTGTGGTTCGGTCCCTTTACCAAAAGCCTAGACAGTGTTTATTGCAAGGAGCCTCTGGTGTCCGCATTTTCCCAGCCTTCCCCTCAGTCCTCGGCAGCACCTCTCAGCAAGTCATTGAGAGGACCGTATACTTGCCATCTCCAACTTACTCTTCTTCTGTTTCTTTTTTTTCAGAGTGGGGTATTACTTGAAGCTCAGCCCAGAGACTTTACACTGAGACATATTTTGAGCCCTAGCCAAGAAGTTGCCCAGGCTGGACTTGAAATTGTGGTCCTTCCCGCCTTATGTATCTTAAACTGACTCGACTTGTATCAATCAGGCTTTTGCCTCACAAATCCACTGAAAAGACTTGCCAAGTTTCCTAATACTGGTCGCCATATTGCTAAGTGCAGCAGCCAGTTCTCAGTTTTCATCTAATTTGAAAAATCAATGATGAGATAGACATAGATATGGAGAGATAGAGGGAAGGGAGAGAGCTACAGCCAGCCAGCTCCCTATTTCTCATGACACAGTATTTATTCCTTGTGACATCCAGCACGCCCTACTCTCCAGCTTGCCCTCCTAACATAACAGCCGTGTGGACCTCACCGAAGACTGCAATGTGAGATTTACAGAACAACTACTGGCTTATGTGAGGAGGCACAGGTGAAGACTGTGTGGTTAGGGTGCCTGTCTGATGCACCTCTGGACAATCCACCCTCCCACTGTCACTGCATAGTCTCTTCTCTAGCTACATGTCTGGCAGCAGCACTTGTAAATCAAAGGTGCTCAGAATAAATGTGTTGAATGAAAGAATTTACCTTTGGCTAAATTATCAGTGTGGCATTTAGTTACAGAATTCTGAAAACAGAGGCTAAGAATCTCTGCTGATCAGGTAGGAGACTTTGACAATTATTCTATATACAGCCACATCCAAGCACAGACTGCTTTTTTGTGGTATGGGGGATTGAACCCAGGTTCTTTTACTGAGTTACATCCTCAGCCTCTTTTGCTTAGTAGTACATGTTTGCAATATATAGTAACTACTTGCATTGCAGGGAATTAGTGCATATACACATGCATGTGGTGCATCTTCTTTTTTTTTTTTTTCCTTTGAGGCAGAAGCAGTCTTTATTGGGCTCAGACCAGAAGTCTGTGGGTCTTGAGGACCTCTGTGAACTTGCTGATTTTCTTCTCTACATTCTTCTCAGCCTGTTTTTGTAGCCTCATGATCTGCTTCTTTTTCCTGTAATGGATATTGGCCTTCTTCTTCCTCTTCTCCTCTATGGTGGCTGTCACTGCCTGGTACTTCCAACCAACCTCATGAGCCAGGCGGCCCAGGTAGGCAAATTTCCTCATTGGCTTCAGGTGTACAACCTTGAGGGCAGCAGGAACCACCATCCGCTTTTTCTTGTCATAGGGTGGTGGGATCCCATCAAACACCTTCAGGTGGTCAAGGGCAGCTTGGCCTCACTTGGTCTTGTGGGGCAGCGTGCCTTGCACAGCACCCCAGAAGATGCGACTGGGGTCCAGGAAGCGGTAGAGGCCGCGGGATGGGTTGGTGTTCATCTGCTTGTGGAGCAAAGCCAAGTACTTAAACTTGTTTCTGTAGAAATTGCCAGAAATGTTGATACCCTTGCAGCGCACAACCACCAGTTTGTGGCCTAGCAATACCTGCTTGGCCACAATGGCCGCCAGGCAGCCGAGGAGATGGCCTCGGCCATCCAGCACCAGGACCTGCCCCTCTGCCATCTTTGGCAGATGCCCGGGAAAGTTCTTTTTTTAAAAAACTTTTTTTGGAGACAAGTTCTGTTGCAATCAGTTTGCAAGAGAAATAACACTGGACACATAATTTATGGGATTATTTTATAATAGTCACCCAAAGAGACATATACAAAGGGAGTCCAAGAAATCTGTCCACATATACCAAAGATGAAAGAACCCTGTTGAGGGCCTAGATCCTGTATAAGTCCAGCTAAAGACCTAGAGCCCATCCCTGTGCCTCCCACGAGTACAACTGGAGGTCAAGGGCCATGCCAGTGTCCCACACAAGTCTGTTTCACAGGTCTGTGCTGCCAAGGCCCAAAGGTCAGTGGCGGAAGCTAGAAGGTCTATGCCAGTAGGATGAAGGATCTGTGCTAGCAGGCTGTGGGATGTGTACTGCAGTCAGGAAGCAACGCTCAACGTAAGCACCAGAGTTCCTCCTCCAAGATGAGAACAGCCGCATTTATATCAGGAAGGCCAGCACGACCATCTTCTCCAGGACACTAAACAGTGCACCATCTTCCCCTCAGAAGCCAGGAAGAAATGCTCAGCGTAAGGACCAGAGCTCCCCCAAAGTGGATGTTACCATCCTCTGTGACAAGGTCCTGCTGAGTTCCTCCGACACTGAGAACAACCGAGTTCACATTAGGAGAACCAACAACCCTAGGACAACCAACAGCTCCCTGACAGCTTCTAAACTTCTTCCTCTGCAGTTCTTCCTCTTATGCTATGTGTAACAATCTCAGGTGGGTGCCTCACAGCTAGCACCAGGCTGATTAAATTCCACTGAGTGTCACACGCTGACCACCCTCTGGCAATTCACCATAAGTTCTCATTAAATTTGCTAACTTGCTTAGATTTGTGATTCTCTTCATGTGCCTCCCAGAGCGCTGGGTCCAGGCATCTATGACCATACCTGGTTCCCTCTTTTTTGCTGAGAGTTTTTTTTCCTGTGTTCTACCATAGACATGGGTACTGTTCACTGAGTGCTTAAGTCAATATAAATGTCTACTCACAAAAACTCCCCACAGTGTGCATCCAGTTTTGTACGTTAAAGGTTCATACTTCCCGAAGACTCCTTTAATTTGGCCCATATATAAAACCAACAGGAAATACCACATTAAAACATTAAAGATGCCAAGCATAATCTGGACAGCCTGTGAGAAGAGACTCTTATTAGTACCAAAACAGTGTAATATAAAACTTAAGTTTTTCCAAAAAGTTTTAACTATAAGAGACATCAGTGCCTTGCAAAAGATGAAAGTTAAATACTGTGCACTTAACAATGCATTTCCTGAGCTGGTGAACCCAGAAGAAGCCTTGAGCCAGGAAGGAAGTCAGCTGCACCAGGAGCGATGGGTTGGCCCGTAAGAATAGCTCTGATCTGTTCAGAAGAAAGTTACTATTCTGGCTGCCTGACAGGCCATCATTCTAATCACTAAGCAATGCCATGAGGGGACAATAGCCAGAGTAGTTCAGAGAAATGTGTTTTCATATCTACTCAGATGTGTGAAGATATCTGTCAGCATTTCTTATAGTAATTTTTTATGAAGGAGAATAACTTTTTGAATCCTATCAAGGTTTACCTTTTCCTTCAAGGAATATGTGGTATGAGTTTTTCCCCAGTATACTAGGTCAAGGGACGATCTGACACAACTGTACAAAGGATATTGTTGGTATGTCTGCATGAAGAAGGTCTTTTTTAAAAATGTATTTTAGTACAGGGTCTACAGGGTCTCCATCACGGATTGGAGTGGTAGTGATCCTCCTGTTTTCAGTCTCTCAAGCACTGGGATTACAAGCGTGTGCCACCATGCCCAGTCTCAGTCCTTGTCTCAGTGTGCCCTGGGGGTGGGGCCAGCATGGCACACCAGGGATTGAATCTTGTCCCTGCTCCTGCCTAGGCAGGTGCTTTAGCCCACTGAGCAATTGGCAGGTCCTTGAACAAGGTCTTTGTGTTGGATGTGACCACAGGGTTGGACTAGGAGAGAAGCATTATTCAACTTTGATTTTTAAGAATGTACTCATTCTCTCAGTAAATATATCTCAGTAAATTTATATATCAACTAGTAACTCATATAATGAATCAATATTTCATTACTTTTTCAGATGACAGGATGTCATCTTCATTGTCATGTAAACTTTAGTAGGACGCTACTTAATGTTTTAAGAGTTCTAGCAAATCCTTGCAAATCAAGTAGTGCATGAAACACACGAGTGAAATTGGCTAACTTTAAAGATACATTTCAAACAAGGTATTTTTGTCTTTCGTTACAAGAAGTATTCTTCTCTGATAAGAGCCATATATATTATAGATTTAGAATTTGAAGTTTCCTGATACAACAAATTTGCAGAGATGCCATCATTTCAGAGGCCTCCGGATTTGACTGGGAGAAATATTTCCTTCTAGAGCAAAAGTCCCCGGGAGCCTGGCCTTTGTTGCTCTCATTATGGTATCACTAGCCTCTCATCTGGTACTCAGCATAGTGCAGGCCCTCAGGCAGCACCTATGGTGCAAGCACATTGCTGTCAAGGATACTAACTCACATACTTTCCACGGCCCACAGAAGTGCACTTGAAAAATGTCTTTATATCAGTGAATGTTGTTCTATGCAACTATGAAATACCTAAATAATCAAAGCTTGTGAAACAGCACGTTGCCAGTGTGTGAAGGATAAGATAGGTTTTCTTATTTAAAATAGTTCTTACTTAAGAGCCAAAAACTGGGTTCCAGGAAGTCAGATTCTTTCCTCTCACTTATGAAAAACTGGGGGTGGGGTGAATTCCCAGGAGAAGACTCATGGCTTTCATTCCACACCAAAGTGATCAGGGGCCTTAAAAGGTTAAGTGCTTTTTTTTTTGGCTGGCTCAGGCAGGGCTGGTGCAGTATGTGATGCCTGGAATTGAACCTCCATCCCCTGGAAGGCACTTTAGACCCCTGAGCTATCTTGCAGACCCAAAAGATTGAATACTTTTGCTAACAATCAGAAAGGAGACTTAGATAACTGGTCTACACAGCACCAAAATTCAAATGAGAAGTTACAAGACAATGAGAACAGAGCCTGTCCTGTAGACTGTAAAGTACATGATCCTCATAATTCCATGGTGTTTGCTAACACAACTGCGTAAATCTGTAGTTTAACATGTTTATAACTTAGTAGAACAAAACTGTAATAGAATAGATGAATTTATAATAATTTTATTGCACACACAAAATTAGCAACAATAGCTCTCTCACACAATTAAGGAAAATGTATACATATTCTCTGTCTAAAATTTTACCAGTTATTTTGATTTCTCTAGTATCTTGTGTTTTTTTGATTAGTACACTTACTTCTAAGTACACTTTTTTTAGGAAGAGACATCGGATTAGTCAAAATTTATAGAAGATAATCTACATTTTTAAAAAAAGACCTTTTATTTTTTGATTGAATTAAATCTGCTCCTTTCAGATCCAAAAATACCACCCTTTCCAAAACTGAAATTCTTAATGATCATGAAAGTGGAATGTTACTTACCCCCAAAGCAAGACTGTCTGCTTTAGAAATGTGTGCACTCCCACATGCCATTCTACGAGTACTTCCTCTAGTTGATCTTATTTCTAACCTTTGGCGATATCTTTATTATCAAACTTCTAAAAAAAAAAACCACAAAACATACATATAACTTTCTGAGGAGAAAAGACATATATCTGATTTTTTAAATATAGGTTAGCAACTATCTCCCAAACTCAGAAGCAATAACTTTCTTCTTTCTATGGTTTCTTAGAGGCATCCATTTGCATTCACCTGTCCTGAGCAACTGTCTCTATGACTGGAAAGCTTGGCTGGATGATTAAACAATATTGGTCTGTTATAGATTCATTTTCAATTAATAATCAATTTAATGCACTCCATGTTGCTATGTTTAGATTTTAGAATCAAGTTCTTCTACTTATGTTGGTGAACTGTGATTCTTCCTGATACATACCTGCTACCCTGTTCTTCTTTTTGTATGAAAGTAACTTTCTTCTATCCCTTTATCATCAAAGGTGGTTCTGTTATTGTAAATGTATTTCCTGTTTCTTTCTTCCCTATTATTCCTGCATTTCTTCCTGTGTTGAGATCACATTTATATGGGTAAAATCCCTTTGAGACTTCATCCCTGTGTAGATATGAAATTCTATATGTGCTGTGTTACCCATAGTGTGTCATGCCACCTGGTGATTTTAGTTATGGTCTCTATTTTTTCAGAAAGGGGGAATTTTTGACAAAATAACTCCGAAACTTTAAAGTTTAATGACTTGACTATTTTCAGTGTCTAAAATTTAATTTCTTAGTGTCTCTAAATGTCATGACAGCCAGTGTTAGCAAGAGAAAAAATGCATGTTAGTTAAGTGAAATATGCTAACACTGACATAATATTTGAGAAGTAGCAGAGGGTTTAGGCCTACAGCTAACGAAGTTTAATCTCTGTTCTGACGAAATAAAGGGCCACAGCATTTTACAGAATTATGGATAATGAGAAAAAGTTGTATCGAGATTGCTATTGTTACTTATCAAAACATAGCAAAGTAAAAATAAGTCCTCTTGTGTATACAGATAAATTGTTTTCGCCGAAAAGAGCTTACCAGTGAAAGAAGCGTGAAGAAGTTTGAGGGAATAAAATATTATCACTATGATCTCTATTAGGTGCCACCAAAGCCACCCCAAGAGAAATACTCATGAGAAAAAAGTGTGTATGCCTGTGTTTAAGAATCCCAGTTTAGCTGGTTGAAGAAGTACTCCATTACATTCAGGAAATAACTGGTTGGAATTCCGACAGGTCTCCTTTCCGCGACTCGGCCACCCAGCGATGCATCCTGTTCTCACGAGAGTGGAAAGCAATGAAGCCCTCGAGGGCCGACTCTGCGGTCCCCGCACCAAGGCCGCAGCGGGTGGGCAGGCCGGCTCCCCTCACCCTCGGGCGGGCGGGCCGGCGCTACCTCACCAGTCACTCCTCCACGTCGTCCTGTCCCGTGGCGCGCGGGGGCCCCGGCAGGCTGTGCGGTCCCCGTGTCCGGGTCCTCACCAGGGCCCAGGCTGAAGAGGCGGGCGCCGCCTGGGTGACCCTCCGCGCCAGGTGTCCGGACCCCGCCGCGTGGCATCACAGAGGCGCCGGCACCGCACTTCCGGGTTGTCAGGCGCCCGGGCCCGGGGTCTCCCAGGCGACGGCGAGCCGCCTGCGCATGCGCGGCTCGGCGGGCGCATGCGCACACGCGCTGGGCGCGCAGCTCAGAGTGGCGAGGCGACGGGGATCCGAGCTCAGCTGTGGGCGTTTGGCCGTCTTTGCGTCCTTGTTTCTTCCACACAAAAGGGCCAAGACCGTGGATGAAAAGTCACTCCTTCACCTTTTCCGTCCTCCAGGAAAAATGTTGACGACAAAGCCCTGTAGGACGCGTAAGTATTGAAGGAAGCAAGCCGTGGAGCTCGTGGCTCGCTCCGCCCCACCCCACACCTGAGTAAGAGCAGGACTATCTCTGAGGAGAGGTCTGACGAGGTGCCGGGAAGACGACTGAAGCTCTTTTATTCCGTCTGCCGTGTGGAGTGATTCCATTCATTGTGGGAATGGGGGTGCCTACCTGTCACGTTGCACTCGCTTTTATACCCTCGCCGCTGCCCTCCGCTCGCTTTCCTGACCCTTCTCCCTGTCTGTACAGAGTCTAACTGCTTGTTCCTTTTAAAATCATTTTTGTTGGTTTAAAAATCATTTGTTTTAGAGAAACTGTGATATTTAGCCTTCCCTGTTGGATTGAATTCACTTAGCACAGTGGTCTCGTGGTCATCTGTTTTCTTACAAACAACCTAAGTTTATACGTGTCTCTGGCGGAGTAGCGCTGCGCAGTGTTTGCACGCCACGTTTTCTTTATCTGTTCATCTGTGATGGGCATACAGACTTTGTCTATAATTTAGCCATGCAGAGTTGTGTAGCTATAAACGTGGATATGATTGTTGTTGGTGTAAAGTGATGACCAGCTACACCAGTTGGAATTTCTGGTGTTGGTTTTTGAGGAATTTACGTAGTAGTTTTACTAGTTTCCATTCCCAACGACAACATGGAAGGGTTTACTTTTTTTCCTCTCACAACCTCACTAACATTTTCTTTTTTTGTCCATTTTTACTGGACTAAGGTGAAATCTCAGTATTTTTTGGATTAGGATTTCTTAAATGGCCAAAAAGGCTTAATATTTTTTCATATATTTATTGAGTTTTGAGTACTTCTTTTGAAGTGTCTGTTAGTTTGATCTGCCCATTTTTTACAGTTGGGTCTTTTGTGGGATTTCTTTTGAGTCCTTTGTGTGCTCTATAGACTAGACTGCTTAGGACAAACTGGAAAAAAATGTTCCCATTCTGTAGGTTTTCTTTTCACTCCATTGATTGTCTGCTTTGCTGTGCAGAAGCTAACCCCATTTTTTGATTTTTAGTATGTCTTGTGCAATTGGG